GATTGGCCAGATATGTCGGGTATCGACCAAGAGTTAACACAGCTCTTTCCAAATCAAAGTACCTGCAACCCCTTCAACATGTGGTCAGACGCCGACCATGCAGGTTGCATAAGGACACGGAAGATGTCAGGAGGCGTGCTCATGGCCAACAAATGCTGTCTCACTACATACTGGGGACCGTTTCCCAGCAAAGAGGTGATTAATGGACGCTTCCGCTGGCATCGCCATGGGAAACCGTCGAGGTTTGGGACGAGCCAAACATGTTGACACTCAGTACCACTGGGTACAAGAGCGTACAGCAAAGAAAGAGTTTCAGTTTCTTCTCAGGAAAGAAGGCACCGACCGAATGTTGGCCGACGTGCTAACGAAAGCTGTCACCGAAGAGAAAATGAATACAGCCATGAAAGGCATGAACTTCCACTACTTGGAAGGTGAACGTGAGCTAACCTTGAGAGCTTGAACGGCTTGAGCTAGAGGAGGTACTTCCTCAAGACCAAGATGTACTGAAGGGCTACGAGCTAATTTCCTCATGTGCTACTCCTGACTCGCTTAACTTTTGAGAGACGTTAAACTCGGGAGGCGTGATCAGATGCAGCACCAGGTACATGTACATGCCATAGTTGTGTATAGATGTATGTTTCACTGCAGCCGTTTGAGAGTAGTTTGTGTTCATTTGGATCTACTTGATCTCATTGAAACGTGAGCTAAAAGTGTGTCTAAGCTTTGAATACAACCTTTGGGACTGTGACTTGGGGTCATTACGTTTGTGAGCCTAAATTCTCCGTTCATGATTTATTGTTACAAGTGTTAATCACTGATTCGAAGGGTCATTCGACAAAGCCCTTGGTATGGTGAAACAGATTCGTTTTTGTGCGCTTCCTTTTTTCTTCGTTGGAGTGAGGTTGGTCATCGGGCAAGAGTTTCCAGGCAGTTTCCGGCAGCACATGTTCAGGATGGCGAAGGGTGATGAGATGCGAAGTGTTTTAGGGTCTGTGGAGCTGCCGGTGGCAGCCAAAGTCTGTACGTCTGAAGCTACGCAGCCACCGTGGTTTGGTGAGCCTTTTCATGACTTCCTTTGCAAGTCCATGTTCATTTGACATCATTTGACCAAATTTGAATACATTTGACCAGTTGGCCGTTCCATGGGAAGAAAGGCCCACGAAAACCACCCCCCCACACCGGAGCACTGCGACGGATGGCTCCGGGGTTTTCACCTGGGCAGATGAAGATGATACACGGAGCTTGAGCGTGGACAGTTCGATCAGCGCCTTGGCACAGCGCACCCTCGAACCGCGGTGTGCAGTGGTGCGGGCAGGTTGGAGACATAAGAAATCAAAATGAATGAGAAGATATGGAATAATGTTTTGTTCCCATGTCTAGTTTGCACTTGCCCTATAAATTTGCAATTGTTAACATCAGAAATATTTGGCAAGAAAACACAAGAACACATTTCATGGTTGATGTGTTTGTCTCGGAAGAGAGTTCATGCACGCAAGGACTGATCATGAGGTTCCAGCAGCTTTGCTTGGGGTCGGAGAAACAATCATCCCCTCCCATCCCTTTTTTTAACTGTTACTTGTTACCCTACAAGTCCAAGTGACTCAGTACAATTTGGTCTTCTACCGATTCTACCTCCTTCAATCGTGTTTTCCTATGACAGACTCCAGTAAAACGAGGTCATTGACCTGTACGGTTGTTCGTTTACTTTGTGAGCAAGAACACCCGTCACCATCCATCACCATCACCTCTGAGGTGAGCTGACGCCACCCGCCACGGAAGATCGGTGCTACCTGAGCGCTGGGAAGGTGCGGATCGATGGCGCGGGCGGAGAGCGGATCGGTGAAGGCGCCGAGGTGGATGACCCGAGTTGCGAGGCATTTGGGAGGTATCGAAAGAGCCACGATCGATGTACTTCGTTTTTGAAAAAGAACTGAGGAAAGGAGATCTCATCTCGTCTCTTGTGCTGTGGCTGTTTTCTTGGGCCAACTTCATGGAGAGGGCGATGAAGAGAGCATAGAGAGAGAGAGAGAGAGAAATCCCTACGGCTCCAAGTACCTGCTCAGAAGGTATTGGGACCTCCAAACCCACCCCAAAACACCTTCTCAAAAGGAACTTGGAGCCCTATACGGGTATGGTTTTTGCATGTTTTTGTTTCAGTGATATGTTTTGGATGAATCACAACATGTCGCACATTGAAGCTGCCCTTCAGGTGGCTTTGCACCAGCAGTTGGCTGCCCGAAGCTGTAGGCAGGGATTGACCTGCAAATGGTGTGTGTGTGTGTGTGGTGCGGGGAAGACATGGGAAGACCTTCGGTTGACCAGAAGAATCCATATGAATTATCCAAACGGCACAATTATTGCCGGAGACATTTTTCAGTGAAAGGACACCTTAATCACAACCATGGCCGTTTTAGGTGTTGCACACATGTGCTCAAAATCCATGGCCGGGGAAAGACGCTCTTTAGACGCCTGACAACGCCGGTGTCTTTCTGGTTTCTGTCGGTTTCCGCTGGTCACAACCCCGAAACAGGCTGTTTTGGGACACAGATCTCCGTAAACAGCAGTGTTCCTCTTCAAAAGGTAGGAACTTTGACGTGTGGCTGCTCCCAAGTGGACAGCACACGAGGTAGGCGACACCGGAGAGTCGCACACATCCGCACAAACCCAAGAGCTCACGAGAGAGCCCGGACAGCAAACAGCCGGAGGATAGTGAACGGCGGACGCACCAAGCAGAGGCATCAAACAGGTTGTTATACCGGACCCTAGACTTCCAAGACTATTAAAGAAATGGTTGAACTGGTTTTTGTAGTGTAAACTCCTTAGTTGGTTCGGTAAAGCCTATTAATTTAATAGTGGTTGGAAGTCTAGGGTGAGTTGTGCAGGGATTCCTTCTGGCTTCGCCGCGCGCGGGGGTCCGCCTTCCTCCCTATCCAGGCCTTGAGCACCGTACGGCCAAGCAACTTGGATGCCGTGGCAGAGATCCCAAGTCTCGATGGATCATGATGGACCTAGTATCGAGTCAGCCAACTGTTGGGCATTCAGTGTGCACTTTGGGTCAGGTAACACCACAGGTGTGCCTGAGTAGTAGAAAGAGAATGAAAGAGAAACTTGCAAGTTGTGCTACTTGGGGACCACATGAGGTGATACAGTAGGAGTTTCTGTGTGCACAGGGTGGTGGGAGAGTCGTTGATGCAATTGGGCTTCAAGTCAAACACCAGGAACTCCAGCGAGATGTTGCTTCTTGGATCTTTTTAAGAAGCCTGTCAGTACAGAGCTGTACAGGTTTGGATCGTATGTTCCAAGATGTTCAGATCGTATGAGGCTCCATGCATAAACCATCCGTACCGTGAAGGATAATTCTTTCATTGCCCATCATTTGCCGGGTGAGCAAACGGTACTACTTTGTCCCACCCACCCACACAATCCCACACACACAACGTGCCACACGCTCTGTTTAATTCGAACATGCTAAGGGCACCCTGCCCCCACTGTCCGGGCACCAAACCCGCCGAACCCTCGGATCTCGGAAAGCTCGACCATGGGGTCCGCTCAGGCCCCCCCGGGATGGTAAGGACCAGGGGACATCTGAACGAGAGACGACTTCCGGAACCGGAGGCTGGCACTGTTCCAGACGTACAGACATTTTTTTGAAGGCGTCCAGCGGCGGATTGGAAGAGCATCGCTCAGCACTAGCTTGTTGTGAGATCTTGAGAAGTGCATCCAAATACACACACGAAAGTTAGAGACAGTCTATATAATATAGCAATTGTGATCTGGGGAATGATGGTACTCACATATTTTATCCACCACACAGTGCCACACGGTATCCACTCTGACTGCCTACGTCTTTGTTCTCCATCAGCCATAGAGTGGAGGAGCGATGCTCAACTATAGTTGGCACCGCCCAACCTAACTTTTAGCTCCTGCTCAGCAGTTCGGTGGCTCGGATCCACTCGCGAGCGTCCTCTTGTGCAAAGAGACTACTCAGGGGCTCCTGGCCGTAGGACCTACCACATCGAAGCAAGTAGAGACAGTACCACATCGAAGCTCCTACTCCGGGTCCAAGCATCCGAAGCACGGCGAAGCGCCGTCGGTTTCGCGTTTCACGTCCACTCGGCCACCGGTCGTCACGCGGCAGAACATCCGATGGGGACCAGTGAAATGCAAGAGAAACATCCGGAGGGGATCAAACAATGAAACACTTCCAGCAAGTTGATGAGAACATCATTGATGTTGCTGCTGTTTTGTTTCAGCAATATTGCATAACAACTGTGGCATTGGTCCCAGAAATAGATCTGGAGAAAAAGGATCGAGCCTAGAGTGATGCAGGTCGAGATGAGTCAGAAAAAGATTCTGCTGCGGTGTGGCAGCGTGGCAGGGGTCTGTGTTCCAGACAGTCTTTTTGCGGATTCGTCAGCTGCACGGGTGGATATCACAGCCCAGCAGATCGGTGGTTAAGGGAGGATGTGCATCACGGAAACATTGGGCGTGTTTTTGTCCTTGGGTAGAACCAAAAGGGGGTCGCACTCATCATCGTCACGACATTTCCCGCAATGCACGACCTTCAGCATCACCATGATGCACAACCACCGGGACAAACTGATCAAAGCCCTTCTTGCCCATCTCACAGCGCAAGTCTTGAAGGGTCTTGGGGCTTGTCTCGAGTCCTAGAACCGCGGCTTCATCAGCGTTGGGTACTGAACTTCATTAGTCTTCAGTACCAAAAACCATGCTGCTAATCGTCACATGTCCTTACATACGGCTACTGAAATCCGCAGGATTGCACCTGACATAGTCATGGACATCCGCGCTTCAAAAGGATCTAAAAAAACACCGACCGGGTCTCCCAGCTTGAGATACGAAAAAAGTGGTGTTCTTGAATATCTCCGGACATTTCACATTCATTATGCTTTGAGGCTTAGTGCTTCATTCGATTTTCTCGTCTTTTTTGGTTGCACTGCTTCATCATACATGCTCACCGCTCACCGCTCGTGCCCCAGGACGGCCGTGCTGGGCTCGGCGCGGGCGTCGCTGCGGGTGACGAAGCGGGCCCTGGGCTTCGCCAGTTGTTTGGACCGAGCGGCTCGGACGGAGACCGTGCGGCGAAGGAGCCAGTCCGACCTGAGGGAGGTGGGGCGATGAAAGACCGTTTGGGTCGTTTGGCAGAGATAGAAGAGGAGATTTGGTTGAAACTCTGTTTTGCTTTCAGGTTGGCAGAGACCAGGGTGGTACAGGATTTATACATTTTCCATGCAGGTAATGGCCCGTCAACAGCTTGAGCTCTAGGTAGGTCTCCTTGGCTGTCTTTGCCTATATAGGGCTCACACAATCAGAACATTGGGATAACACAGACCTGAAACATGTCCAAAATAGAATAACTTTCTGTGATCAATCTCCAAAATATCCGGACGACCGGAGACGCCAATCCACTGGACGTCCAGGTCAGATTTGGGGGGCCTCTGCAAAGGCCCCGGAATTGATTGGAGCAATGTGCCAACCAAGGTGCCAAAGCTCTAGCGAAGGGCTAAGGAAGACTGACAATATTGTTTCCACAAGATAGCACTCAGCCAGTTTGGCCTCGCAAGAAGAAATCCATGGGAAATACAGAAATTCCAAAGACCTCTCGAATTGGATTTGACACTCATTGAGACCCTCCGCGAGGGCGTCAGGGTGGGTCACCGGCAACCACTGAGGATGCCATGGACGAGGAGCGACAGCGCCAGGTGGGGAGTGAAGGGATGCAGAAAGGTTCAATAGCCATATATAGCCCCGAGTCGTACAGCAGCGTTCTGCGGTAGAAGGAAGCTACCAAGTGGGACAAACTCATCAAGTCTGAGATCCATTGTCTCAAATCTATTCTATAGGGACCATTCAGGTGATGTTTGTCCTGCCATCATCTGCCATCCAGGGGGTCCTCTCACACCTGTCCTGTTCGCCCTCCTGTCTTTCCTCCTTCGGAGTCCAACGCCGGAGGTGCGGCTGTTGGAGCAACGCTTGCACGAGGCCATCACCTGCGCTCGCCACGAGGCGAGGGGCGAGCGGTGTGAATGGTGGGGAGAGATCTCTGGAGGGGCGTACCAAAGCTTCGTGAGAAAGATCCACAAATCTAGGGCCTGGGGCTTTAACATATGTTTGAAACATTTGCAACTTCAAGTTGATGCATTTGGAAGTATGTTTGTTCTGAGATGTGGACGTCTTGGGTGCAGGTGAAACACCTCATAAATCGGACCGGGCAGCGTCTTGCGGTGAGTTTCACCTCCAGGATGCCAACAAAAAGCTCCAGACGATCCCGATGGGGAAGGATCACCTCTAGATCAATGTCTACAAGTCCAGTCTGACCCAGTAAAACCTGGTTTGTCTACGTCCCTGAGTCAGCTGAGTAGTGGTTTTGTATGACCATCTCCAGTATTTCGGTCAAACTGACTTGGACTCTTCATGGAGCCCGGAAGTTCGGTTACACCGAGGTGTCTGCCCTGCACCTCGAAACCATGTCGGATCCGGAAGCCTTCTTGAGCAGCTCGGAGATGGATGAGATGGCGAGGTGGTTATTTGAGGTCTGAGGTTTTGGGGCAGTGAAGAAGTGGGACTGGAACGCAGGGAAGAATTGGGGTGAATTGGGGATGGAAGGCAGTGAAGTGATTCAATGGTTTGGGAACAATTGGCATTCGGAGTCCCTCCGGGAATATGGATTCCAAGCCTCTTTTTTGGTGGCTTTTCCCTTCAGACTCGAGATGTGTTGGGGGGGGATCTTCGTGGGGCCTTGGCTTGGTGGGATGGGCAGATCCACAGATTGCAGGAAGCCCAAATCGCCGTGTCACTGAGGATTTGTGGCTCATGACCCTTTGCGTGCTTTGAAGGCGCAGATCGCTGACATAGCCGGGTTCAACTGGGAGAGGCCGTGACACGTCATGTGCAAGATCTCGAAGTCGACAACGTGTACTGTTACTATTATCTATATATGGTGCAATGTAGGATGTATTTTCTTGGAGGATTGTATCAGGAATGGCAGCCAAAACCAATAAACGATAATACACGTATGCTTACAGATGACCACCATAGGTTATGTCTTCTCAATTCAAGCCAGGAAATGACCAGGGTGGTGTGACCCACTTGCCTCTTCCAAGACACAAGGTACACATACGCTCAACAAATTGATCCGGAGATGCATATATTATAGCATGTCTTGTTGCATTTGATATTTGCCTATATAGGCCATTTTTGTCCCTAGAATCTCCTCTCAATGTCGGGACGCGTCAACCAGGAACTTCTTCCTTTGGTCGCCGTCCTTTGGTGCTCGGTGTCCGAGTCGTCGAGTGAAGTGGAACGGGCCATGGCCTTGAACTTGCTGGTGATTCGTACCGACCACTTGGAGAGACCTGCGCTGGGATTAGAAGCGTTCTTTTGACTGGAGGCCGGGGGGAGGGCTTCGTTTTCGGTGTCCAAAACCCCCGAAGTCGTCCTGCCTTCGCCCAAGGAGATCCAGAAGCTTCTACGAACAGCTCGGTCTGCGCTTCGTGGAGCACCGGCACGGCTCCGGGCCCATGCACTACGCCTGCGAGTCGGAGCAGGGCACCTGCTTCGAGCTCTACGCAGCCAGTGGGTCGCAGCCGCGTAGCGCACCGGTGCGCTTTGGCTTTGTAGTGGACGACTTGGAACGGGCGGTGTCTTCAGGGGTTGAGGTGATCCAGAAAGCCAAGGAAAAGGGGGTGGATGGGGCTTGATATGTTGTTAAATCATGTTAAATCCGTGTGTAGAGGAATCTATTTAGTGCACGAGCTTAACGAATCTACCTCCCATCTTTGAAACAGTTTCCCATTGTTTTTCTCGCCTTTTTAAGAGGCTGAGAACAAGAGGGTGCTGCATTTGCTTTCGAAAGACCGAACCGAAGCGGTTCCGACAGGACTCTCCATGGGGGCGTCGAGCGGTGATTAAAGACCTGGATGGTCATACCGTTGAGCTCGTCGAGAAGCCCAGCACCAAGAAACGGCCATGTGAGGAAGGCGAGCAAGAGAGCGGCGACCAGAAGCGGACAGATGCGAAGGATGTGCATTGAAGTGGCCATGGGTGCTTCGCCAGGAGATGCAGGGTGTTAGACTATTGAAGTGCGGAGCACCTGTGAGGGCGGGTCATGCAGCTCGGAGAAACACAGTGGGTCATGGTGCTTCAGCTTGGACCATTGTCAACACCAGATTCAACACAGGAACATACAGGAACCATATTTGGTGCGACTGTTAGATTGCTGCCTCTCTATGTGGTCAGGTATGTCAGATGTGGCTTTTGCACCCTTGCAGTTGCAGTGCCATGGCATCGCGGGATGCCCAGACCTCTCCACCCGTGCTCCATCCGAACGTTCAGACCCCAGGTGATCGAAAAGAAGCACGAGCGGCCGACCGCGGCCGGGACCCGGTGCAAGACGGGGTTTGGTGGGAAACGCTACGCGAGGACGTGAACGTGGGCACTTGTGAACATGAGATGGCGATGCAATGATGGGTGACGTGACATGTGCTATTTATCCATGCCAAGACATGAGAAAGGATGTGGGCAGAATGTTTGAACATGACCCCAGTAACTATTACAAAGAGCAAGACATAGCAAACCCTGCAGGTCAAGTTGTGCAAGACACATGGTCCGTGGGATGGTAAACAGCATGAAACAGGAGATGCCCAAGCACGTAGCACCTAGTTCAAGTTCTGTAGGGTTTTGGTGTTGATTAAAATTACGAAAGCCAGCCTTCGTAGAAGGCGCTAGCGGAGTTGTGTCCGGCGAACGAAGTGAGTAGTTAGGGGGTCTGGGGGGGTGGCCCGAGAAAGGGACACGTCAACTCAGCACATGCTGGGGGAGGAGGGTGCTCCGAGGGAAGGTTTTTTGAGGTTGTGTTGGAGGTGATTTTTGAGGGGTGGTGATGCAAGAAATGCCAAATGCATCATTTGCATCATCTGAATGGAAAGGTGTAGTTGGCACCTTGCAAGGTAGAGAGACCTAGGGTAGCTATAGTGCAGCTACCAGGTATAGTACTTCAAGTTCCCTTTCCGTCAACCGCTTGAGAACCTCTACACACGCACAGCAAGCCACAGCCTTGAAGTCTCATTCGTGCTTTGAACTTGTATAGGTGTGTAAGAGGTATAGCAACATACTACCTGAGAAGCTGCAAAACGAAAGCCAGCGCTTCCCTTTCTCGAGAACTGCGCGTCGAAGCATAGGATAGAAAGGTAGGTCTGCACCCTAGATCCACCATCCCACTCCATTTTCTTTCATTTCTCTACGGCAGCTCCGCTTGGCATTTGCCAGGTGGAGGCGGCCGTGAGACCTCTTACACCACACCTACACAAGTTCAAAGCACGATTGAGACTTCAAAGCTGTGGATTGCTGTGCGTGTGTAGAGGCTATCGAGCGGCTGACGGAAAGGGAACTTGAAGTACTATACCTGGTAGCTGCAAGCAAG